CCCCACATCTTTTCAGAGTTGTTGAGTTTGACCTCTTTGCAGAACGTGTCCATCGTCAGTGAGCTTTACAGTCGTTTGAAGCAATGTGGTCCTTCAAAATTTCACTGTATGTGTTTTATGCCTTTTCTTCCCTTTTTTCAGCTCCCCTATGATTCACTCTTATCACCACTAGAGGGAAGCAAATACACACAACTGCAATAATGTCTGCTTCCTGAAGAGCCAGTCAGAAGTTATCCATTACAAGTATGTGTGTCTTTCTCGAGTCAGAACAGAGCACACAGGTTATAGACTGGTAGATGTGGTGGTGTGAGATCTCGCTATAGCTTTAAGGGAATAACACACAGTGACATATTTTTGAAGTTTGTTGATTTGTCCTGCTTCTTGTAGAAAAAATGCAAAAATGACACCGACAGAGATTGCAATGTCACATAGTGAACAGGCTCTTTTACTTTCTTGCTTGAAGATTTTGATGAAAAGAAGTTTATGAGAGGATTTCTTCTTATCTCTGATGAGTACATGAAGCTAAGAGAAGTTTTACTAATACTGTGTGTGTGTTAATTGTCCAAATAGTTGCAGCAAGTGGGTGAAAACTACTTATTAACACATCAGCAACATTGATTTTATGTTCTAATGTCGGTTTGGTTAAATCAGTATAAATGTGTGTATGTGATTGTGCTGTAGGGTTGTTGCAGGAAGAGCTGCTGAAGAATACAGTGAACTCAGTCCTCCTTGTGGGTGTCGACTCTTTAACGCTGAAACAGGAGTCATCTATCCTCTTTATACAAGCTGTCATTTTACAAAGAGCAGCTGACCAACAGGGCAAGAAAGTGAATCAATCTGCGCTGCCTGGACAATGCTGTTCATTATTAAAGTGGAAAATAACTGTCGAACTTTTACTTTTATGCTGTATTTCATTTGTTCATTATATTGCATTTAAAACCTAGAAGAACACAATGAGGGACACTTATTCTCAGCCACACATAAAATCAAACAGCAATAAAAGGAAAATATTTGATTTCACAAGTCATTAAAACTAACCCACCATTAATCATTTCGATGATCACAAGCTTATTAGTGTTGACTGAATTAAATTTCAAATCCTGAACTTTCCTGACTTTATTTGTTGCCTAACAGATTTGGCAGCTTCACTGAGTTTTTCATTGCCTGCTCTTTTGTGGAGTGAAACACTAAGTGAAAATTGTTTCTTAAAGAATTATGAAGAAGAAAAAAAAAGACTCATGGGGCTGTGTCATCTGATCCCAGTAAAAGCAAAAAATGTTTCTAAATTTATTTGACTAAGCAGTTTTCTTTAAAGGGCTGTGAGATAATAAAATCTGTTGGTGTAGGATACACAGTATGACAGTTTTGTTTCTTCTTACAATTACTTTTTTGTATTTCATTTGCCTGAGAAAATGCTGAACCCTTGTCTGCATGACTCATATTTTGTGCCATTTACAACGTTTCTATGTGAATTGTTTGCATCGCTGAAAACACAACAGCCTGTTCTACGCTGTACGGACAAGACAAAGTGGTCAATCACACAAGACAGTAGTGTGTATCCCCAGATCTGGACATAATGGCCGTCAACAGACTGGAGGAAGTGTAATATGGTGATAATAAACCTCCTCTCTCCAATTCTTCCTAAATAATCCCTCCATTCACTCAGTACCAAGCAGCAGCCTCCTCCTGCTGTCCCATGGAAGGGAAGGAGGACCAGTGCCAGTCTTGTACCTAGTCTGCAATCTTTCAATGGGCCTTTGTGGATGCTGCCATCCTCACCCTCCCTCCGGCCAACCCCCGGCAGCCCATTCAGGAGTGTCACATGGCACTCCCACTCCGAGCCCATCTCACAATGCGCCCCTGTCATTTGCACCTCATTGACATGCGCTCATAGTGATGTGCATCGGGGAATGGTCGTGCTCTTCCACTAGTTTCAAAGGAAATGAAGTGCCGGGCTGGGTGGCCAAAGTGTGGCTTCCTGGATACGGTCTTCATATTTCTCGGGAGGAAGTGCTGAAACGTGTGTGTGTGTGTGTGTGTGTGTGTGTGTGTGTTGGGAGCTGGCAGTGAGATTCAGTACATGTGATGTGCCAACATCCCACCACCTTTAACTCAGTTACTGTGAGCAAATGTTAAACTAATACAATAAATATTGATTACCAATAATAGTCTTGTTAACCCCATATTATATAATGTATTGTAAAAGCTGACAGACTGAGTGTTACCCTAGGGTTAGAACTGTTGATCATGTGTGAAATTTTAGTTTCAGAGCTGAATTTTACTGGATTCTTTTGATGTTCAAGGTCCAGGGAAGTCTCTGAGAGTTTGCAGCTCTCAGCTTTTGATGCCTGCTAGCAGTAATCATGGTACTTGTGAGCTGATAAGTTATTCTTTGGCTGCACATATGTGACTCTTTTACTATTGCAAGGTCTTTCAAGATGTTTTTTATCAGTGTGTTATGGTTAATTTCACTCCAGGAGAATCTAGCATTTTTCATGCATTGGACCACAAAAAGGGGGACTAAATGTTGCTGGATGTGGACCTCTTTACGTTGCAATACACCTCAATAATGCGAGTACTGAGAGCTGGTTGTGATTTTTTTTTTTTTTAACTGAGCTTAATTCTTAAGTTTCTACAGCATAATAAATCTAGTCCTCATTCACCATTTATTAAATATTTGACAATTATCCAGCTATGATTTGCCAATATCAGAGTTTAGATTTGAAAAGGTATGAAAGACTAGTGCACTGGAATATTTTGCTTGACGAGCAGGACTTTGAATAACACTGAAAAATGTTTTGCCATTAAAACATTTAGAAGAAAAGTCAATTGGTGCATTAGCGTCAAAAAATGTCTTTAATTATTTTAAATGAAGGCATTTGCTCTTCAGCTTAGTAGGTTCGTTCCATCCCCAGAAACACATGATATGCATACCATGTTTCACAATAAAGCTGTGCCCTTTATGATTGTACAGTGATTAACAAAATCACATGAAAACAGCCCTGACATCCAGTAAAAAGGTCATTTTGAGATATATTTCTGTATAACTCTTACTCAACTTGTACACCCTTTACTGAAAGAGGCAGGAATCACGATTGTCATCATGTCCTCCTCACAGATAAAGACCAACAACATACAGTTCAGTACAGCACACATGAATAAACAATACTTGCTGCTATTACAACAACCACCCTTCAAAATAAAGGTTCAATTCAGAACCAGTGAGGGTTCTTTGTGGTAAAGAAATGAATGGATTCCTCTTTGCACTTTATATATTATGTAACTGTTTGAAACCTAGTTGGTTCTTAACAGCAAGGAGGGATATTAAAGACATTTCTGTTATAATCACCCTAGCACTCTACTTTCTAGTAAGACAATTAATATGTATTATTATGTAACTAATGGATAAAATAATCTTTATTAGGATCTTGCTTTTACATATTTTAGAGATTAGCGATAAACTAAGAAGAACTCATTTGGGTTGTTAGGTTTTAGCAAAAACCCTCTGGATGGCATTTATCATTTCTATTTGATAATAATAATGCCATAAAAGTTGTCACTTAATGTCGTCACTTAAGCCTCTGTAAAGGGTCACTGATTTCTTGCTTTCTAAGAAGCTGACAGCCATCACATCTGCAGCTAGAAATGCTAGCAAGCTGCTCAAAAATGCATTTTGATCCAGATGTTTTGAAGCCTTTTTTGAGAAGGTTGTCACTCAAATATTTCATAGCTGGGACCTACTGCATCTGATACTGATCCTTCTTCTTCTGTGATGGAAAGCAACTAAGTTCACTCATGTAGCTTTATGCTTTCTTTTCACAACAATACAGAGAAATATGTTTGTACTTTTTACTCCATTGCATTCATTTGCCTTCACAGATCAACAACTACAATACCTTTCACTGTCACAAAGTGAGTAAGCTCCATCTTTGTTGCCTACAACAGAAAAGCACTTCATCAGCTTCAATGCAGCCGCCTTATTGATCCAATTACATAATTATACACCACTCTGAAAGGAACCACTCTCCATTATGGGCACTTTTACTTCAGACATATGAAGTCAGTTTTGCTGATTATACATCAGTAAGTCAACATAAGTAACTTTTTTAAAACAGAGGAATGTCTACTTGCAATTGGCGAGAACAAACTGAAAGCCTAATACACATTGATTTATCGTCTGTTGGAAACTAAAAACAAAAACAAAAAAAAACCAAACTAAAATACAGAACTTGGCAAAAACATGTAATAGCTGCGGGAATGCAGTATGTGGGGAGGTTAAACAAGTATGTACATGAAGATGGACAAGACCAAGTTCAGGTTTTTTACATTAGACCTCTGTAACATTTCAACACTATACAATACTTTACTTGACTGCTCGTCCTTCTTGTATCCTTGTTAAATTGTTGCTGTAAATTACAAGTATTCTACTTTCAAATCTTTATACTGGGCACATTTATACTGTTGTTTTATTTATTTGACATCTTTTCTAATTTTAGGATTTATCAGACAACTTAACCCTGCTGTTATCTTTGGGGTCAATTTGACCCCATTTAATGTTTAACATCTCTAAATAAATCATTGACATATTTTGTCAGTTTTATTTAAAGGGATATTTACACATGAACTTGGGTAACAATTTTAGTTCTGATATTTTCTGGAGGTTTAAATTGTTGGGTCAAATTGAACTCAAGGATAAAACGTCAGGAAATTTGAAGGTAATAAGAGGGTTAATAATTTTGTAACAATAAATAGGCATAACACAATTGTGATCGAACGTTGTTATGAATAAACTTCACCTATATCAATGGATCTGTAGAGTATTTTTGGCACATTTAATGCCAGCGGTTCCTCAAAGCATCACTGTTAGGGAACCAATATTGGTTCAAACTCCAACCTTTATTTTTTAAGGCTCGTTCGCAATCAGCTACGTGACCATGTGCAGCATCTCCTCCCTCCCTCCAATCTAGCATCACTCCCCTCGTACACGCTGTCCTCAAAACCTCCAGAGGCTTTTACCCACATCGGTGTGTGCACGCTGAGCTCACTGGGAGGAGGTGGGATCTAGCTACTGGTGGTAGTGGGCGAGCCAGCGAGCGTGTACGTGCGAGCCGTGCAGACAGCCGATTACTCTGACCAACGACGAGGGCAATTTTTTCTTTATTTGTATTCTCGGTTGTTGTTGGTGGAAACCACAAAACTCCTGCCCCCACATATTCACCGCAGTTAGCTACACTGATTTTTTTTTTTTTTGTGCGTGTTGTATCGTCGTTTTTTTTTTCCTCCTCTCGGATCCAACGAGATTCCCGTCAGACCGCCGTCTCACATCTCGGGCCGGGCTCTGTGATGTGGTCACCCTGCAGCGGGGGTCTGCCTTAGATAAAGTAGGGGGGAGTGTTGCTGCCACGACAAGGCTTTCACTTTGGGTCGACTTTTTTTTTTTTCTTCAGAGGCTTCCAGCAACCCGGTTGGTTGTGTGAAGAAACACGGCGCAGAAGAACAGAGCTGCTAGCGGGGCTGGAGGAGTCGCTGGTGAGTGGATGTTCCTCGTTAAGCCCTAATTGTTAGCTGCTAGCTCTGTTATCTGTTACCTCCGATGTGCCGCCGGACTGGCCAACACCGACTGATGCTGTCACGTCGGACAACCAGTCCTGCTCTCACAACTACTTTAACCCGTGAGTTGTTCTGTTTCGGGACTAAGACTCGACAGAAGAATGTGTGAGTGTTTCCGAAATGGCTCATTTGTAACTAGTTAATTCAGCCCGCGGTCCGCTCTACGTTAAGTAACGCTATGTCATTTGTAGCTAGCCGTTTACGCTGCTAGCTAGCAGCCTACGCCCATTTGTCTCCCGACCTGGAATAAGCAATAGTAAGCACGCCAAGAAAGCCACGGCATAAAGAGTCCTACATGATGTGGGCAACGTTATATAAAATACGGAAGCTCAATCACTTACTCTCAGTGATGCCCTGTCATCGAAACAATCGCTCAGTTTGTGCTCATTGCAGCAGTGACATGCACAGAAATATAGCCCACCACGGTTCACACCTAAACTCTTTAATGACCCTCATGAAAACGCATGGTTCTCTGTGTTTCCGGCAACACTGGCAGCATTGTGTGTGCTGTAACAACTTAGGGAGCAGCGCAAATATATGTTATACCAGTAAAACGGGTGCATGTGTCACCTGCAGGGGCAACACAATGGATATCTCTGCGCACATAACTGTACATCGTGTGCTGAACTGAGGAAAACATTGACTGGCAGTGTCATCAAGAAGTTCACAGATCATTTACTATGTCACCTCAAAATCAATACAGTGCAGTCATTGTATTTGATAAATGATAATGCAGTATTGAACAACATCTGTGGTGTGTCTTGGTCATTGTGTTGAACTGAAGTTGTTACAGATGCATGTGGCAAAAGTTCAAATTCGTTAAACTTACCGTGACAGACCTCTGAGGCCAATACCATGCTCTCTACACATGTCAAGAATGGAGAGACAAATTGATTAGTGGCATCTGTGAACTCTAATAATCCTCCGTGAGATGCAAGTAGTACAGTTTCTGAAGCCTGCAGTCCTGACTTTTGGCTGTGGAAGCAGCTGTCTCATTGAAGATGGTGTAAATGTCTCGAAAGCAATTATGGAAATGATATATTAAATTAAGCTATTGAATGGTCTATATGATGGGGTGTTTCTATGTCATTCACATGTCTATGAATAAAAGCGATTGTGTATCTTGTACGGACTTGTGATTTTGGGCTTTGTAAATGTAGTTTTCTCTACATCTACCAAAAGTTCAAATTTGTTAAACTCTTAGACCTCTTAGAAAAAGGCTATTGACAATTCTGTACATGAGTCCTTGTAATGTCCAGAACAAAGGGAAATTTGATTACTAGCTCATTCAATTTGCATTCCTCTACAACTCATTTAAGTAGGCAAATTTTATTTACCACTTTTCTAAGCAGAAGGTACACAATCTTCTAATCAAAGTAACTAGACTTGCTTAGTAAGAGACGGAGCCAACAGATGCAATAACCCAGTCCCTAAGGCCTTAATTTGACAGCATTGATGGAACAGCACTAGTAGATATCAGAGATGCTTTTCAACACAAGCATTAGCACTCACATAATCTTGAACTGGAGTGGTTAAACTTTGCATTGCACTAAGTGGTACACAAATGTAAATCCCCTATAATAGTATCTACTCTTAAATACATAAAGCTTATTGCAGCAGCCTTCGAGTGCTTATGTTTGTAGTCCAACATGCATTTAAAGGAGTTTCAGGAAACAAATAAATGCAGAACAGTGTTCAAACTAAAACAGAAAACACATCTGGACAAAGGCTGACTGCAAAAAGCATCAGTAAAAAATTGTGTCAAAGAGAGCAGCAAACAGTTCATGGTGTCCTCAGAAAAAAATTGTGAGTATTTTAAAGTTGGTATTACTTGGCAGTTGTTAGGCTTTGGAGAAAGAAATATGCGAATGCAAGTATACATAGTAATACAGAACAGTCAGTATGAAGCAAACTGAAATGTACAACAGCAATACAACAACCGGCCTGCCTACAAATAGCTGATGCAGCCCATTTTTCTCTAAGGCAAGACATGGAGTCTGTCTCTGTCTCTATTTATTTATACAGAGTTTACTGTTGTTTTTCCAAGAGATCACGTTAGTGCAACACCAGTAAAGTGCTGATCATTTCACTTTCCTTCTACAGAGCATTTTGAATAGCAGTTCTGGTATTCAGATGTTTTCTGTATGTAAAATAGAGCTCAGCTGCATTTCTTGACACCTACTATTACCAAATATAAAAACACCTTGCTGTGATTAAAGGGATTACTTATACGGAGATTACCTTGACAGTAAACAGCTTGTGAACACCCCCTTACAAAGCCTGCTAGTCCACGTAGGGAATGCATTTTATGACTGCATGTGTGTTAATAACAGTTGTGTAATTGTCCAGTTAAAGAGGAAATTAGCATTACTACACAAAGTGTAACCAACTTCATTGGCACTGCTCCCCTGGAGGAAATGGTTGACTAGTCAAATTACATACCAGATTTTTAGTGTTTTCTTAAACGTGGAGTCTGTCCAACACGGTCCTAATACACGTTTTCCACCTGGAAATAGAAACTTGACTGCTGCAGCAGTTGAGATGTGGGTGATGTGTAAGTCTTTCTGCAGTGCCGGTAGTACTCGCATTTAATAATGTCCTAAGTTTATTACCGTCATAATAAGATTTCACAAAGGATCTCCACTAATGTCTTTGTAAGTAAGTACAATTGTAACATGGCTTGACATTAGATGGCAGAGAGATGGTCAAAGACAAAGGTTATTTAAATAGATTATTGAATATTCACATGTAATAAACCACAACTTGGATGACAACAAATTTTTTGTGCTTGGTTTCGTTTTTGATAAACTTAACCTTGCTACTTGCTTAGCAGATTTTTGAATTAATTTGGCATGTTTAATGCAGCGATTACAATCGGTTCAAATCCATGACAAAAGTTTGTGCAAAATCAAATTTTTTTGTATCATTGTGATGTAATGAAGATGTGCATGGTTTGTTTGATGTGCATGTTGCATTTGTATTAATTTTCCAACAATCTTAAATGGTGAACTAATAATGCACATGGTCTGCCTCTCAGAGGAGTTGTACGTGTCATTAAGTGTTTTATTTTGAAAGTTAAGTTGCTGCTAACAGTCTAGTCTAGTCTCGTGTCTTCCTTCCTTACCTGTAGTCCAGGCTGGCCAGATTGCTGTTGTTGTGGTCCTGTGTGTCATTAAGCGGCATCCCAAGTGAGTCTTTTGGCCTATGGATGGAGTCCAAATCCACAGTCTTGGACTGCAGTGGGAAACCTGCTGTGAGCTGGAGGGTCACTCCTCCTAGAACCTGCACCAAGTAGAGAACAGGTTCATGTGCTGCTACACCATGCTCGCCAAGCCTGCAGAGAAAGGACACCATAAATTCCACCCATGGGGGAATGGCCAACTACTGTCACCAGCTACAGTCCAAGACGGTGGAGTTGGAGTCCATCACGGTGGAGTTGGAGTCCATCCACAGGACTAAAGACTCACTGAAGAGGCAGTTGAATCACTTGGAGGACCACAACAACAGCAACCTGGCAGCTTATTTCGTAAGGGGACAGGAGACAGCATAGTGGGCAACAAATGGCAGGGAGCAGTCCAACAATTGGCCGCTGCTAATTCCAACATCATCCAACATCAGATAACAAAGCAAAGCCATTGCAAAGATCTCAAAATCTGTTGTCCAAATGTAGTGAAACGTTTGATTTGTGTCAAATGTAGGCAAAGAGTCACGCACAAAGCCTGCACGTTCCTTGAATGCTGATCAATATGCTACTCCATTTTCATGTTATCTTGAGGCACAGTTACTGGCCAACTTTTGATGTTGTGTGCCTTTGTTACTGTTTAGTTTTATCTACTAAATATTCAGTTGTTGCTCTTGGCCTTAACCTAAAGACTGTGAGCCAACTCAAACACTAATTTCTTTGTATTGTATCGCTGACGCTGATAATGGGTTCACTGAGGACACAACGTTGGTGTCCATTACAAAATACACAATAGAAGAGCTTCGATTTAGTTAGAAGTTTGTGAACTTGACACATTTGTGTCGTCTGGGTTAGGCCGTTTGTTCATATCCTGTGGGTCAATCGGAGATAGCCCTAAGGACTGATATAACTTGTACTGTGCTAAGGTTGTTTTCATGTTTCTGCTTGACTTACTCACCCTCACATGACTACAGGTTTTATTTATAGTCACTGTGACCCTGCACTTCGCAGGCCAAGGGTCCTATTTCTCTAAAGTAGGTAGTTGAGAAAAGACATTGCATAGAATTAGGCTTGTTAAAATCTGAATATAGTCTTTCTTAGTGATACTCTTTAGAAAGAGAGGTTATTCTTCAATAAAATCACGTATTACTATTGATCTAAAGTGGTGTGTATGTGGCTACCAGGTAAACAAACAGTCCACAAAAATCAATTAAAACAGAGCAGATAAACAAGGAAAATTTTGACAGTCAAATGTGAATAGTTAATGAGGTGACACATAGCACTAAAAGGAGGAAAGAAAATCCGTCCAGAAAAATGTGGCACTGAACACAGCAAGACAAGAGTGCCATGAGCCAGCTGTGTGTGTCAGTTCTCTTGTGTTTGTGTCAGCTTGTGTTACTCTCAGAGTCCACGGAGGAATGATGGGCTTCAAGAGGAGAGAGAGAGAGAGAGAGAGAGAGAGATAGTATGGACAAGGTCACAACAGGCTTTTCACTATCCCTTCTTCTAAGATGATTTTAGTCTAATCATTTTCTCATCTTTTCCAGCCTTATCAGAAAATTGATTGATTTCCTTACACTCCATTTTAAATCTGATGTATATACAAACCCGTCTTATGTAAGATTAAGAATTCTTATCATTCGTGATTCTTAATCTGTTCAAAAATGCCAAGCATTGGTTTTTCTGCAATATTGTTAAGGGATGGCCATCACTTTATCAGTCTCCTTTCTTAATTTGA